TCGTAGCACTGAAGTTTGTTTTCTTTTTTCAAGAGTTATGACCGACTTACTAAATTTCCGGCCTATTCCGTGAGTGCTCATCGGAAACTCAATTTACAAGATTTCGATCTGAAATTTTTGCCTATGAATAGATCTGTTGATCTTTAAAACATCCTAAAAATTTCAGCCAAAAAAAATGCTTCTTTCTTGAGATACTGAATATTATCTTTGTGACAGGTGACTGGTTTTTGAAAATTCAATATCTCAAGAAAGAAGTATTTATTCTGGCTGAAATTTTTAGGATGTTTTAAAGATGAGCAGATCTATCTATAGACAAAATTTCAGATCGAAATCTTGTAATTTGAGTTTCCGGTGAGTGCTCACGGAATAGGCCGGAAATTTAGTAAGTCACAAATATTGATGGCATATAGTGAATCATCATCGGCTATAATAACTTGAGCTTATTTCGTAATTTACCTTCATTATGACTCAACGATTTGTAAGTTTTCATGTGTAAAAATTAGTTTAGCAATTAAAACTCAACAGTTAATTATGTTCTTTAAATTAACTAACATTATAGGATAATATCGCTTTTGATTATCAAGACTCAACTTTGAAATGAAACTAAAAGAAAATGATTGTCTTCATTCATTATTTTAGTTATCTAAGATTATGTTGGAGTCGTTAGTTTAGTATTTAATCTGCAAAATAAAATCAATGCTATTGAAATTTTGATACTTTGAAAAAGGGTGATTATTCAGTAAAAAAAAAACATTTAGTCAAATCGTTTGAACTAAAAAGTTCTTTTACTATATTATTTTGATAAAAAAAATGAAGATAATTATTTTTGTCAATGAATATCATTAGAAAAGTAATAAAAATCTATCAATCTTCAACGAATTTTATAAGCAATCGAACTAACCCCAGGATAGTAATAGATCGAAGAAGGGTCTACGATCATACATAACTGGTCTAGAAAAATTAAATTAAAATATTGTTAACATCTCAATATTAAAAAGTTACATCTACGTATTTCAACTATCACACGTCTCATAAATTCATAACATTTTTCACTGTCGGAGCTTGATAATCCGTAGACATATATATACAATGTACATTGTCATGACATTTTTAATCAATGAAGATGATACAGAGAGAAAAAAAAACTAAGACCTTCATCTCAAGATGAAAGTGTTTAGCAAAAAAAAATACTAATCACATATAAATATTCGTTTAATTTCTCAGTCAAAATTAACAATGCAAGTTTTTATGATGTTCTTCTTAGTGGTTGAGATATTGATGAGTAATCATGTTCATTCATTACCCGTAATCAATTTTACAGATACAAAATTATCAAATCAAATGATTAAAACATTGAACGAAACTCTTTTAACTCAAGATAAACAACCTATTCGAGCTGATCCTCGCAGTAATATAGATAAATAATTTATAGAAACAAAGAATCTAAAATTTTTATTTAGGCTTGTATTATCCATATCCATATCAAACTGTTAATTGGTATAATTTTCCTTATTTATGGCTTGCTTTCGCTGGTGGTCTTTTTGACCCTACAGCACGATTCGCTGATGTTGGTACTCAAAGAACTGGTTTAGGAACGGGGTGATGTCCGACTGGTGAATGTGGCGTAAATAGTTGTGTTGGAAGTAAACAATTTATTTATTCATTTTTATTAGTTAATTGTAAATTACTAAATTTTGTTAAGAGTGAAATTTCTTTTTCTCTTAATTTATGTTGTATATTTTCATTATGTTCAGATAAATATTGTTGTGAAACTTCAGCAAATATTTGTCGAATTTGTTCATGTGTTATATTTGGATGTTGATGATTTATATTGTCAATCGTTTCATTAAGATCAAGATTTGTTTCTTCATTAGTAATTGATAATGATTCACGTGAAAATTGATCTGGATCAATTCCATCATTGAGTTTTGGAGTTGGTGGAATTTGAAGAATAATTTCACGATAAATAGATAATGGAAGAGCTTCTGTTAATGGATAAGGAAAAATTGGTTGTTCAAATAAATGAAAATCGATCTAAGAAAAAAACAAAAATAATAAAAACTTTAATATAAGAATTCGGTTTTTTTTTTTACTGTTCTATTTTCTTCAATTTTTTCAATTTGTTGAGGTTTTTCATCGAGTAATATTTCATATAAATGTCGATGTTGAAAAATTATTTGAATAATATAATCAATTACTTTTGGATATTGTTGAGTATTAAATAAAATCGATTTTTTATTATCATTTCCACCCATTAATATTGAACATGAATGAATAAATGCTTCATCTAATTTGCTAGAATTTATTTTATTTGTTCGTTCAATTTGACATAAAAGACCTTGAATTAATGTTAAAATACAAATAATTTGTTTATGTGTATAAGTTGACCAATGTAATAAATCATTTAATATTGAAGTATATAAATCAATAAGAGATTCATCACGAAATGTTTCACGTTTAAATATTTTTGAATTTGATTTAAAAATATGATCAAGAACAAATTGTTCAAGTTGTATTGGAAATGGAAAATTTCCTTGATTATCATCAAATAATTGTTTTATTTGTTCAATTGATATAAGTGAATGTGTAATAAAATCATTAATTGTTTCAAATCGAAATAAATCAATATCCGAAATATTAATAAACATAGTTTACTCGATGTTTTGTATATGTTATTTGTCTATCATCTATCAACAATTTTCTTTTCATCCTTTCCTTCATCGTCTACCAAGGCAACCGTTTGGAGGCCAACAACATTGTTCTTTATTTTAGTTCAAAATCCTTGCGGCATCTATGATCGATATTATTTTCCTTATTATCCTCAATGCGATAAAACAGATCGTAAATATGTACCGGGCAGTGGCGTACGCAGAAATTTTTCAAGGGGGGGGGGGGGGGGCCCCCCGGCAAAAAAAAATTTTTTTACACGGGAAAAATTTTTTTCCCTCCCCCCCCCCCCGGGCTTTTTGGGGGGGGGGGGGGGGGGGGGGGGGGCGGCCCTCCCTGCGTACGCCACTGGTACCGGGAACAATATTAGATCCTAAAATTGATGTATGTAATTATCGACCTGTTATTGTCGAAATTGGGAATAATAAAGTTTCAATGCGAACAATTCGTTGGTTATAAAATGTAGAGTCATAGTTTTTTGTATGAAAATAGTCTCTTATTAATTAATTTATTCTATTCAAATAAAAAAACAATGAATTTATTATTTATGAATTGAATAAAATATTTGATTAAAATATCTTTTTCTAATCATTGTTACGAATACTTACAATATCATAATCAAATACACAACAAGTTTCTATTTTATGTCGTTATTTTTTTTTTTTTTAAAATATAAAAAAAATAAAATAGTAAACTAATGTTTAGATTATCATCATATATCTAATTCATCTATATATTTAATCAATCTCAAAAAAAAGCAAAAGGTTGATCTATACCACTTCTTTCTTTTACATTTGATTTGAGAGATGATGAAAAAAAGAAAAATAATCACTTGTTAGTTTTCTTTTTTCAATTCAATTTACAAAGAAAAAAAACAATAGATGATATGTTACATTCATGAAGGAGAAGTTCCGAAGTTCGATTGACAAGAATTATTATGAGAATCTGTCATATATAAAATTCCTCGATTGTATTCAAAATTCATCTCATTTCAGAAATGTCATATGGATATCAAACTCCTTTACAAATGAGGTCAAGACCAACTTTATTACAACAAGAACCAATTCCAATGTTGATTACTTCTCGACAACCATTTCAACCAATACCAATAACACCACAATATAAAGATCATTCGCTTGGATATACTAATTCATTAAAAAACAATCGAATTGCACCACAACAATTAGATTATAATTCATATTCACAACCCAATAATTGTATGTTATTTAATATAGAATTTGTTAATCTTTTTTTGTTTTAAAGCTTTTCGAGCTCCATCATCAAAAGCACTTATTCAACCATCACAAATGTATTCACTAAAACAACCAGCAATAGATACAATCTATCCTTATAATTCAAATCAATCATATTATCCACAAAATAAGTATATGGGTAAAAATTAATTATATTCTTTTTTTTTCATTAATTTTTAAAATTAACTATTCTTCAGAAGAAAATGTTTATCCTAATGATGATCTTCAACAAAATAATAAACCCGTTAGAATATATAAAACAACATTTATTCTAACTAAATATAAATATTAATTTGTTTTTAGACTTCATGTTGTTGGCAACCATTATGTTTTGGTTTAACACGTTTTACTGGTGGAATTCTATTTGGAACTATAATTATACTTGGTATTGCATCAATTGGTGGTCTTATTACTTCAATTATTTTATATATTCAAGGTAAGTTCAAGAGATGGACAAAATCGCACCGCGCCTAGGCGCTACGCACCAGAGATGAACAAAATCGCACCGCGCCTCCCCGCGCCGTTGCTCACGCCTACGCTACACTAGTCTGAGCTTCGATGAGCGCATGCTTAGAGCATCCTGGTATTCGGTGGAGTTTGAGAAACTGATTGGTAGAGCAAAGAGAAAGAGAGATGTGCGTAGCGCCTAGGCGCGAGCAGTGGCGCGGGGAGGCGCGGTGCGATTTTGTCCATCTCTGCTACGCACATCTCTCTTTCTCTTTGCTCTACCAATAAGTTTCTCAAACTCCACCGAATACCAGGATGCTCTAAGCATGCGCTCATCGAAGTTCATACTAGTGTAGCATAGGCGTGAGCAACGGCGCGGTGCGATTTTGTCCATCTCTGATAAGTTCATCAATTTTTTTTCTTCTTCTTCAAACTTCTATATTCATTTAATTTAGATCCACAATCAGATTCACAATGGAAAATTTTAGGTATTGTTGTCTGTGCTGTAATGTTAATAACAACACTTATAACATTATGTATATTTATTTATTGTTATAAAACTGGTCGTATTGGTAATAAGAGAAATAAAAATAATTTAACAACACCAGAATATAATCAAAAAAATGATTTTGGAAATGGAAATAATTATAATCGGTCATATGGAATGATGCAAAATATTTCACCTTTCTCACAATATGAAGATATTATTTATGTTGAAGATAAACAAACAAATACTGAAATAACAATGTCTCCTTTACGACCAAGAGATTGGAAACAGGGAGTTTGGCCAGGAAAGAATGCATATGGAGGTTTATCTTATCGTCCATTTGAAAAACCAAATATGGTTAATCATTTTATACAAACATTGTCAAATGACAACGATCAAATAATATCACAACCAAAAAATAATGCAATTAATGTTATACCGAGAACGATTATTCGATTACCAGAAAATTATCATCAATATGATGAAGATCAATATCCAAGTCGTTTTATTGAACAAAAACGACAATATAGTGTTGTTGAAAAAATTATTGAAAGACCAAAAGGACTATCAACAGAAGAATATATAGAATTTACTGAATTAAAAAAAAATGATGGAGAACAAATTGAAAACGGACGAAAAATCAAACGATTTAATAATGTTTCTGTTAAACGTATTAAAGCAATTGAAAAACCAGATGATGTTCAAGATAATTTGAATACTGATCATTTTTATCAATAAAAAAATAATTCTTCTTATTTTATCCTAATCCGATAATTTAATGACTGTTAACTGTCACGACAGTTTTTTTTTTCGACTGTAAGAATCTGTAGCGAATTCATTTGTCAAGTTTGTTTCGATACATTCAGTGTTTTGGAGTAATGATAAAAATCGATCGAACGCGATTGTAAATGTTGATAAATCTAAATAAAATCGAATTTATTAGCGTTTTTTTTTTTCACATGGATGTTCATAATATGAACATGGACAAAATCGCACCGCGCCTCACCGCGCTTCCCCGCGCCACTGCTCGCGCCTAGGCGCTACGCACATCTCTCTTTCTCTTTGCTCTACGAATCAGTTTCTCAAACTCCACCGAATACCAGGATGCTCTAAGCATGCGCTCATCGAAGCTCAGACTAGTGTAGCGTAGGCGTGAGTAACGGCGCGGGGAGGCGCGGTGCGATTTTGCCCATCTCTGGTTCATATTGATTCATGCACACTTATTTCATAGATAACACAAAATAGAAGTTCAATAAGAATTCATTTTCTTAGGTCTTACAAAATATTGATTGATTTAATAAAATATTCATCGGAAATAAGCCAAACAAAAAAAAAATTCTACTGCATGACATTAAATCTCGTTTTTTTCTTATTGCAGAAATCAAATATAAAGAATGTGATCGAAGAAAATTTTACTCTTGCTTAGACCTTTTTTTGAAATAAACAAAAAAAAAAATATTGATATTATCTTGAATCATGCGAGAGTTATTTTCATTTTTATGATCAAAAAATCAGGTTTTGGAGAAAAATAATAAAGAAGTTTAGAAATTGATTTTTTTAAATAATCAGATATTGATTATATTTATGAGGAATTTTTGAACGCACGCAATAGATAACATAAACTAGCCGCACAATTCCTATTATGTCTATTCAATGGTGATAGAATTAGCAAAATAATATTCTCAAAAACGGCTAAAATCTCTTCAAAAACCGAATAGTGAGCTGGAAATTCTCTACAAAAGTCTGTTAAAATTTGGTCTTTTTTTAAAATATTCTGAAAGAGGAAATTTCGCTACATTTTTCTATGACAAAAAACTCAACTTCCATCGAATTACAAAAAAAAAACACGGATTTTCTGAAAGAGAGGTCCCTTTAAGTAAAAATTGATATCACAATGAAATCTTCTCATCAATTGAAATTAATACAAATTTATTTTTCTTTATTCATCAAATATTTTTAAAACATGTACGAAATTGATTTGTATATGATTGTTGTGAATACGCTCGATAAAACAGGAACTTGATAGAAAATGTAATTCTTCAAAGAAATCTGTATTAATAAAAGAAATAAAGAGGATCAAAGGAATAAAACAGTAAAGGTCATCGAAAAGCGACACCTTTTCAATAATCATATAGACGAACCACGTGTTTTGGCATAAATTACAATACTCAATTAGACAATAACCACATTTTTTGTGTATACTATAATGCGGGGTTAATAACATATTATTATTGTTTTTTATCAAAATATTGAAGGTACGATGGGATGGCTGTGGTTAAGAGTGATGTTAAAATCCCCTATGTGAATAGATTTAATAGCAATATTTATTGAATATTATTCAAAGTTTCAGAGATAAGAATTTTTGTCATTTGTCGAAATATTGAACTTTTAAGAAAATTCGATTTTACAAATAAATCACTACTAATGAAATATTTCAATAAAGAAATATTCAACATATTTCGATGTATCAAATGTTTTTTTTTTTAAACCAAAAGAAAAAAAAAATCATCAAGTTTTCATAGTTAAATTATTTTGTTTATTGTGACTTTTTTTTTTTTTTGATATTAACAATAGTTCATCTCGAGATCTTTTTTGCTCGTACGAATATCTTATTTTCATTTTTGTTTCATATTCTTATGAGTAATACAGACATTACTATACATTACACAATAAAAGATAAAAATAAAAGCAAAACAGATGGTGAATACTATTAAGATAAACGAATAAAAGAAAGAAGTAATATAAAACTACTCGTACTATTGTCTACTTATTTTTTACAAACGATTTAAAAGTTTAAGAATTAACTTTTTATTATTACTATCTTTTTTTTAATGTTTTATGACTTTTCTCAATGTCAAAAGACAATTTGAATCTTTCTTTTTTTTTCTTTTTATAAACGATTCAATTAATTTTTCATGTACAAAACGCAAAAAAAATAAAGGAACTAAACATATTTTTTTCAAGGTCATTCTCTTTTTTTTTTTTTTGCATATTGGTATATGTCAACATTGAATACAGCAAAAAAGAAAAAACTACAGAGACAAAAATATATCAACAAAGAAGAAAAAAAAATCATTCAAGCATAACCAATATGTATTAATAATGATTCTCGATCATTCTTGAATGATCAACATACATGTAGATTCTTTTTTCAACGATGGTATATAAATACGTGATAGTACATTATATTTCTAACCACACAATAAAAAAAAATGTCGTATCCAATTCAACAATATAATCCATATAACGACGCTCTTTTCGATAATAGTTATGATGTTAATCCATTGGGTTCAGTTTTTGGTCTTGCTGATCAAATGATGTCTACAATGTTACGTAGTGGTCCAAATATTGGTGGTATATCAACATTTATGAGTTCAGATTCAAATGATCCAAATGTTAAAGTATTTGGTTTAAGTTCAATGAATGTTACACAAATATCAAGTGGACCAGATGGTCGTCCACATATACTTCAAGCACAAGATGAACGTCGTATGGGACCAGGTGGAGTTTGGCAAACAAAAAAAGCATTACGTGATCCAGATCGTGGTATTGATAAAATGCAAGTTGGATATTTTATTGGTGATCGTGGTGAAATTGTTGAACGTCAATTAGATCCAACAAGTGGACAATATCGACATGATATAAAACGTCGTGGAATTGTTCCAAATGATCAAAATTTTTCAAATCAATGGAGAATACAAGCACAACAAGCTATGCAACAACCACGTCCTTTACCATCACAAATACAACAACAACAATTGCCTTCGTCTTATCAACCATATCCACAACAAGCTTTACCATCATCTATTCCTTCCTATCAATATTATTAAACTTTTTTTTTTTTATTATATATTTTTTGCTTGATTTAATATGAAATAATAAAGAGACAAAAAAAAAAAAAAGAAAAATTTCTTTTGTTCATTCATTGATTTGTTTATATTATAAACAAAAATATTAAGCTGATGTAGTTCCAGCCCAAATAAGCCATAAAGCATGAATACAACCAGGTAACCATCCGAGAATAGTTAATAATATATTAATCCAAAAATGTGTTGTACATCCAACCTAAACAAATTTATTTATTTATTACAAAAAAAAAAAAAATATCAAATAATTATACTTTAATAAGAGCAGCAACTGGTGGTAAGAAAATAGCTAAAATTGATAATAGAAGATTGCCAAGAAAATCACCCATGATCAATTATATAAAATATTGAAAATATGAATTTATTATATCTAAAACAAAAAAATGTTCAAATGTTATCATTATATAATAAAATATTGCAATGTACTCTTTGACAATCATTACAAAAGAAATAAAATTCTTTTTCATCATAATTTTAACTTGTTCGTTCTTTATATTTATTCAATACATAACTAGTTGAAAAGAACATAAATTCTCTTGTGTAGACATAGAAATAAAGAAAAAAATTCTATCAATTTATAAGTAACAAACTGTACTATAATAGTCACGAGTAAAAGATAAGCCTTCACATGTATTCATTTACACCAAAAGATCGTCAATGCCGCATGTTCCATTCAAGGACACAAGAAATAAGAAAAAACATTGTTTAGTATGATTCACAGTATATATATGATCTTTGTTCTATTCAATGAGTAAGAGACATTACTAACTGTTACTCTCTTAAATTAAACTATAAATATCAGTATTTTTATGTTCCGACTAAATAATTATTATTAATTGTTTTTTTTCTTTATATATACATTTCTTAGATGGGACACTCGATATATCAAAGAAAAAAAAAATAAGTGAAACTATTATTATATAAAATGGCATTTATTTAGAAGATAAAACAAAAGAAGATTTCTATCATCTGTCGCAACTATAAAAACATATTGTTAGTAAATTTTCGTTTACTTTTTTTTGCATTATAATATCAATATGAATGAGTTTTATTTTATACTATCTAACCTTTATAGAATAGTTACATTTTTAAAGCTGAAGAAAAACAAAATTGTGTCGCCTAATCTCAGTATAAAATGACCTCAATGAACCTTTTTTTTTGTTGTTATTAATAGAAAGAAGAAAAAAAAACTATGAGAAATTTGTTACACGTACTCAAATATCTTGGCCAAATTCACTTAAATAAATTTCAATATTACCTTGTGTTCATAGTTTTGTGTTGTCTATAAAAAGTCGATTTCAATCAACTTACTTCTTTTTTCGCTATTGTAAGAAATAACTTTTCATCAGTTTACTCATTAGATACTAACAATCATAAGATAGAAAAAGTATAAATTTATAATTAAATCAACTATACTTTTTAGTACTAGTAGAAACTGATATTATTATCTTACTTAGTATTTGTTGACGAATATTCTTTCGATTAGAGGACTATATAAAATAAGACTAAATGTATGTGTTCGATTACAAGTACCGAGCATAGAGAAGAAGAAAAAAAAAAAAAAAAAACAGACGAGAAGAACAATCATTGGTCCAAACATATTCTTTTATTAATGATTCTTCTTACAATTTGATTTGTTTTAGATTTTCTATTTGTTACATTATCAATCGAAATTCAATATGGGTGATTTTCTTGGCAACATGTATGTATATTTAATGATATGATTTTTTTTAATCTATATTTATAATAGTTTATTAACAATTTTGGCTATTTTTTTACCGCCAGTTGCTGCTTTAATTAAAGTTGGTTGTACAACACATTTTTTTTTAAATATGTAAGTTATATTTTTTTTTGTAAATTAGAAATAATCGA